GGGCCGGCAGGAGCCGCCGTGGTGGCACGGGCCGGGCCGGTGGCTGCAGGGGTGGCCCCGGAACGGGGACACGTCCCTGGCGCTGCGGATGTTCTGCTCCTGCAGCACCGGCACCCCCCCGAGAGAGATCTGCGCCGGGAACAACGGCCGGCAGCTGGCACGGAATTCCCGGGAAAACTCCGGGATTCCCGGGAAAACTCCGGGATTCCCACCCCTGGAAAACTCCGGGATTCCCGTCCCTGGTAAACTCCGGGATTCCCGGGAAAACTCCGGGATTCCCGTCCCGGGAAAACTCCGGGATTCCCGTCCCGGGAAAACTCCGGGATTCCCACCCCTGGCAAACTCTGGAATTCCTATCCCTGGCAAACTCTGGGATTCTCATCCCTGGATTTGCTTTGGCAGGGATTTCCTGGGAAAACTCTGGAATTTTCATCCCTGGCAGTGCCAAAGGTGGGAACCCATCCCAAAACCAAGAATCCATCCCAAAAATGGGAATCCATCCCAGGTGTCCCCATGATCCCAAATTCCCTTTCTGTCCCCCACTGGTGACACTTTGCCACCCAAACCCATCCCAGGACAGGTGCGACAGCTCCCAGCTGGACACTGGACACTGGGCTGTCCCAGTCGGTCCCAGTCGGTCCCAGTTGGCCCCAGTCGAGCCCTGGACTGTCCCAGCTGGTCCCAGTCGGGCACTGGGCTGTCCCAGTCGGTCCCAGTGGTTCCCAGTCAGTCCCAGTCAGTCCCAGTGGCTCCCAGTTCTCACCCTCTGCAGGGCTCCCTCGAAGCCCTCACTGATGGCCGCCGCTCGGGCCAGCCGGGACAGGTCGGGGGCTCCCCCCACGAACAGCGGCTCCTTCAGGTTCAGCACCTGGTGAGGCTCCTGGGGCGGGAATCAATCGATCAGGGATCGATCGGGGACGGGAATCAATCGATCAGGGACTGGGATCAATCAGGGACAGGGATGGATCAATCAGGGATGGGAATCAATCGATCAGGGACAGGGATCAATCAGTCAGGACTGGGATCAATCAATCAGGAACAGGGATCAATCAATCAGGGACTGGGATCAATCAATCAATCAATCAGTCAGGGACAGGGATCAATCAGGGGCCGGCTCAGGATGGAGCTGGGCTGGATGGGCCTCGCTCAGCTTGGGATCTTGGATGAGCATTGATTTAGGATCATTTATTTTAGGATCATTTATTTTAGGATATTTTGTTTCAGGTTCATTTATTTTTGGATCATTTCGTTTCAGGATATTTTGGTTTTGGATCATTTTATTTTTGGATCATTTTGTTTCAGGAGACTTTGTTTTTGGATCATTCATTTTTGGATCATTCATTTTTGGATCATTTCGTTTCAGGATAATTTTATTTTTGGATGATTTATTTTCAGATAATTTTATTTTTGGATCATTTTATTGATGATTCTATCGGTGGAGCCTCCTCATGCCGAGCCCTGCGAGGTCCCACCCCCAGCAGCTCCTGGGAATGTTTTTCCCCTGGATGGAATTTTGGGGGATCAGCTTTTCCCACACCCCCCAGGGCCTGGGATTTTTGGGGCAGAAAATTCCCTCCTTGCTGGGAATTCCCGGGAATTCTCCAGGATGGAACCACACACAGCAAGGATGGGGGTGATTGCTAACTAATGGTTCGTGGGATTAACACAACAAACAACAACAACAAAAATAAATAAATACATAAAAAAATGACTGGATTAATTGAAATGCTGCTGAAATAAAAAGGAAAGAACCGGTTGGGAATGGAGGAGGAGAGGGAATGAGAAGCTCTAAACTACAGGAATCCTAAACCTGATGGGAAA